GAATGCCTCAGCTAGATGTCTCCATTCTTTAAATGTGGTTTACCACAGTGCCTTGAGGTTTGTGACGGGTTGTAGTCGACTAACGCACCATTGCGACCTGTATGTTAAAGCACAGTGGTCGTCTCTGAGCATGCGAAGACATGTTCTTTGGATGGTGCTAGTGTACAAGGCTTTGGTAGGCCTAGCCCCGGCATACTTATGCTCTCTTTTACATAGATCGGATACCAAATATGCCTTACGGTCTTGTGATAAGTATCAGCTCATGGTGCCCAGAGTTCGGACCAAAAAGGGAAACAGGCTTTTGGATTTGCCGCTCCTTCTTCGTGGAATAGTTTCCAAGCAGATTTTAAACTTACTGAATTATGCTCAGTTAAAACTTTTTATTCTCTTATGGCTCTTAGGCAACAGGACTCTATTGGTCAGTGTAGGTGTTTTTTAAATTGGTTCTATTGTTGATTATTGTATTTATGGTTTTGATTGTTTAAATGTTTAATGTTTTTGATTTGTATTGAATCTTATGTATTGACGACATGTGTTGTTGACCTCTTGGCCAGGTCACCCTTGTAAAAGAGATCGTGATCTCAATGGGTTTTTTTTACCTGGTTAAATAAAGAGAAGAAGATTCACTGAAATGCATTTTTTCACATATAAATGTAAGCATATTCTACATAAAACGTGACTGTCACATTTTGTCATGCCTTCTTATGCCCTAAAAGTCACCAATATGTTCACATTAGACTCAGTCATGGTGTAGAATATGTGTCACTAAACAATTACCACACAGCTACACTTCACCTTCCTGCAGGCTTGGCCTACATATGCAAACACAGGCGCATGTAAGGGTAAGGGCACTCATCACTTTATTATGTGACATGAGAGAGACAGAGCATCTCCCTAGGGTTGCATGAGAGGGCTGAGGTCAAAATTAATGCTCATGCACAAAAATAGGTCAAATGTGGGGCCCAGCTTTCCTTTGCTCATTTCATAACTTTTTTTTTTTTACTGGAATCAAACTTAAAGATGTACAGTAAGAAGAACACACTTTTTGTCTTTCAACAATATCTTAAATATTGCTTATCACAGGAGTCTCACAGTTAATGTAATGATCATGCACAGTGGGTTTATGTTATAACCACCAGTTTCCACAATGCAGCTCACATCAGTGCTAACATTAGCAAGCTGACTTAACTAGCTTTTTAACTAGAATATAAACCTGGAAGATGGAAACTCCAAAATATTTAATGTTATAAATGCTTTAAATTGTTAACATCACATAGGTTGTGGGTTTGTCTTTCAACAATATCTTAAATATTGTATCAAACATTACATGCTCTACAAGCTTATGTTAGTAGTGCACCAAGAAAGTTACAGCCCTCAAATTTCAGTAAACTACTGCCATGGGAAATGCTAGTCTCACACTTAAACATTAAGCCTTTTTCAGATATTAGTCTGCCGGCATCTGAGTCTGCTAATGTCTGAAAGCTCACCCTAATCACTCTTCAGTAAAATTTGCGACAACAATCTCACTACAGTAGATCGGAGCTAGTAACATTTAATTATCACTTTCAACACAGCACAAGTCTTGCAGAGCATGTACCACACTACACACATGGAGATTCAACAAAAAAAAAAAAAAAACGGAAAGAAAATAAAAGTGCTCTGCATCACATCCTTGAAGTCTCTACCTCAGCCACCAGGTCTAATAAGCATCGTGGGGTTACATTTTTTCAGCCTATAGCAGGGCATGTGATCTGCAAAAAAAATTAAAATTAAAATATCACAGGAGCATGACAGCTCTGTCAACTGTCTAGTGATTGAAGCGCAGTGTGTAGGTTCATCATTAAAGCTCAGTCCAAGCAGTGACTGTCTGGTATGATATGAATCACATGACCGCACATGTGGCGATGCTTTAGGTCAGGTTGTTGGTTATTAGAGAGGATGTGTCTGTGATCATGCAGGCACACAGCCATCACAGAGGAGGTGAGAAGAAGGTGAAAGGGCAGTGGTGATGGTCATTCAGTAGCCATGGACACAACCTGATGATGATGGGACATACTTACGAAGAACACGCCTCCCTCCACCTTCCGGGTTCGTCTCTCTGTCACCTTAGCAGAATGACAGTTTGTTTTATTGATCAGAAAGAATTTTCCACATTTACAAATTTTCCTTAAAGACTATAAGTAATCTGTTAAGATAGATATTTTCTGCAACATACTGTAAATCAGAAAGCTATCACAACAACAGAAGGATCAAAATATTAGCTGTGTAGTCTACTGTGGAAAGCATGGGTTTCTTTATGAGCGTTGTGCAGGAACAGCAATGAACATGTAGGAGACCTTTGATGCCACTTCTCCATTACGGTCAGTTTACTCTATGAATCACATGTCACACAGTCTGGGACTGTTCCCAGAGCAAGTGTCCAGTTCTTTACTGTAATTTGATACTGCTAGTATTAACTGCCTGCCCCCTCTCAGTGGGCCTCCCACATGCTGAGAATGCATAATCTCAAGGCTGCTCTGCACAGGAGCCCATACTTACTGTACTCACCTCCTGTTTATCGGTTTGTGGCAATGTGAATATACTCAATGGAAATGAAAACTAAACATTCACATGTGTTTATTTGAAGTTGCAAATATGATTAAAGCATCTTTTATTTGCCCATATGGCGCAAAAGAGGAACCTGTCGTTGAACATGTTCCCCACACTATATATTAATCCTGTCAGAGCTGCGCCAGATCAGCACGACGGATATCTGCACATAACCCAGATCCATGAGTCATCTGCAAATAAGAGATGAGCTGTGACACATCCCTTCCACCCATCCCAGAAAGAAAAGACGAGAAGTGCAAGGGGTTTTTAGACGATACAGGGAGAACGAGCAGAGGGGGAGGGACGCGGTGGGAAAAATAAAGAGATGAAAGTGTGAGCAGCAACTGATGGGAATGGGGTGAGCAGCAGCGGCGGGGCGGATATTTATAGATAAGTAAAAGGCCAGTGATGATGCAGTCAGGCCTTGGCAGATATGGAAACACAGGAGTGTGAGTGAACACACTGTGTGTACCAGCAATGTTTATGTACTGGTTTATCTGACATCAGGCCAATAATGTTTTTACTAAAAATCACACATGAGGGAGTGACAGCGACCTCTGATGTGTGGTTTGTGAGAGTGTACTCTTTTTGATTGATTAGGTTAACCTGAAAGAAGCCATTCTGAAACATTTCTGTGGCCATTTATTAATATAATTCCTTATTATTAGTGTCTTGAAATGTTGTTTCACACATACTGCTATCCTCCTATTTCTGAATGAGGCCTTTATCATGTTCAAAAATGTTGGTATTAGCCTTTAAAAAGCTCAAATCGGTTGAACTTTACTTTACCATGAACAATGACAGACCTCTTGATTCTTTTTGTTTCTTTTTTTTAGTATAATAAAGAGAATAGTCAGATTAGTCTAACATAACCCTGTTTATCTGCTTCACATTAGCTTACATACAAAACAGTCAACACAGAGGTTACATTTCTGCTTTACAGTTCATATTTTCAAACTTTGTTTCACGCTAAACATTATTTCCTTTTTGGTTCTTGTCTTCTGATTCAGTGTAGATGAAAAATGGCTTTTATTGAATATAAATTCTAAATAATTCCACTGGCCTGGGCATTTATTATTAATTCAAATTAAATTAATTAAAAAAAAATAACATTTTGAAATGAAAACAATTTTTAGTTTCAGTATTTTAGTCATTTTTAAAAAATAAAATAAAAATAGTTGATTTAAAAAACCATGTCAAAGTCAAAATTGTTTATTTTTCTGATATGTCCTTTGCAGTGGTCACCAGCGACATTGTTGATCTATTCTCTTTGCAACTTTGCATCGGGACAAAATTTTGGTATGATATGAAAAATGGAAAATATCTGATTGAAATTGGTCCTTTTGTATTGTTAGATAAGAGTTTAGGCAAAACTTTAAATTTAAATAAAATTGTTAAACCTCAGATCTCTATCTTATAGAGAAGGTCTGAGGCTTGACTCATCCCAGTCATCCATCCTCTCCCACAAAAATGATTGTAAATGCAAAATGAATTATAAGCATCCAAGAAATAAAACATTCATGTACATACAGCACAATACACTGACTTGGACTGAAGTACACTTACTCAGTAAAACTTAGATGGGGCACCAAATATAGTGAAAGAACTGTACTTACAGTGCACCTTGCAACCGATAAGTGCTTCACAGTGCTTTACTTTCACCTGTGTGCACATGCACTTAACACAACGGCACTACAGACACTGGTCCACTCATCTGGAGGAGCTTGAGTCTGGTGCTTTGCGTAAAGGCACTTCAACATGTGAATGGGAGCAGCTCTGGTGTTTTTCTCGCTTCTAGTTAGTTTAAAAATCACTTTTAATTCACTTTCATTTAAGAATATCTGGAGTGTCCAGAATATCCAGTTGTGGCACTTTCTCAGTGTACAACACTAATGTAGCATGCAGTCATCTACATGTGAAATATCTTGACAATTCAATTTCATTGTACAATTAATCTGCCATCAGTTTAGATACATAAACATACAATGTTTTAAAATACAAATTGTCTTACATTATGTCCTGTGCTGTCATGAAAAGTGAAAATACAAATTAATTGGATGAAATCAGATGCAACTGATCCTTAGACAAAATATCAATGAGAAGGTAATTTACGGTAGCTATGTTGATTAGCTTGTTAGCTTAGCTTCTAAAATCAAGAATGGCCTGGTCACAAGTGAGTTAATACTCTCAGAACAACTGATGCTCTGTGACTTTTCTGCTCAGCTGTCATTTGCTTCCACAATTTTGTTGGTATTTAAATGTCCTTTATTTGAAAGCAGGGTTTGTCACTCTCACAGTCACACTGTGTCTCATGTTGCCTAATCCACTGCGCCTGCGGGCGAAGTAAAGGCCTGACTGGCAGTAATAATTTAGAGGAAGCATTAACAGGGTCACTGAGGAGAAAGGAGGACAGAGGGAGGTTTGGGATAAATTAGTTGTTCGGTAAATGTCTTGAGACCAAGAGACCTTTGCACCCTGATGATCTGGAAATGACACACTAAGAAATGATCAGTGAGACTTACTGGTTTTGGTTTGGCGGGAAGGCCCAAGTGCTCTCGATCAAACTCTTCTTTCTCTTCCCACAATCCTCTGCTGTTCCCATTGGATGAAGAGGCAACTTTGAGCTCACTGACTTGTCCGCTCATCAGCTGTACAGGGTCCAGACTCATCGTCACCATAGAGACACCCTCTTCTGATGCTCCCAGAGGTCCTAAACAAACTTCTCTGCTTGTGATAGAGACACAGTTCTCTTCTTGGGCCAAAAAAAGCAACCAAATGAAAGAAATGTCCCACTAGAGTCTATAGCATTTATCAAAATGCTCCTACATTGATAATAGGCTTACTACAGTAGTTTGCTGGGCTTGCACCTGTTTGTGAAAGCAGCTGAAGTGTTTACTCCTCTGTCCCCAGTTCACTTGTCTGTATCCTTTTTTCCTCAAGAGAATTATTGCTCTCTGCATCCAGCTCCAGAAAGCACATGAAAGACGCTCAGCTATTACACAACCATTATCCTACACACACATATTACTCTGTTATGCATGCTTAAGACACACACACACTGTCATACATACAGTCTGTCCTTTAAAAGTGTGTTGCAGTCTGTACTGCGGTTTATCTGCTGCTGTCTCTCTGTCGGCCCCTTTCCTTGCTCAGTGCCTCCTCTCCCTCCCTCCATCCCTCTTCGACCCATTCAATCACTCTCTCAGCTCCTCGGCTTCGTTCATTCCTCTCTGTCCTCCCGCTGACCAATCATAGCTCCACTTCCTAATTCAGCATTGCCCCTCCCCTACTCCCCCTCCCCCCCTTACTGTCCCTGTTGACAAAACAAGTTGCCTAAGAGGCTGATGGGACTTTCAGGCACACACTAAGCAAAAAATATGCAGCAAAAAACAGACATCATGATGAGCCGTTAAATCTAGAGACAAATCAAAACCTTTTTTATATGTGTGTGTGTGTGTGTGTGTGAGAGAGAGAGATGAGTGATACATTTTGTGTTGTGTGTCAAAATGGAAAATCAGGTGAAACACTGAATACAAATATTGAATACAAATAGAATTATATACTGGTTTAATATCCTAAACAAATTAAAATCATTAGAAAAAACTGAGTGATCTCACTTCATACTAAAATATTTTTAAATCTTGATATAAGATATTTTTGCAGTGCAATCCCTAATTTTTATACTGTGTGGTCTTAATCAAATAGTACCTATTTTCACATAAAGTTGTTAGTCATCTATAAATGTTGAAATATATCTAAATGCAAAGGTAACAAGAATAGTGAAATATAAATAAGCTTTTGTTTTTAAAAATACTAGCCCGAGTACTAAGAGAGAATGACACTGGCAGGGAATTGAGAGAGTAGAGGGTTACATTAGCCTCAAGGTAGCAGATAATGGATGTAGCCTTCATTTAAAACAAGGGTTACACGCCAAACTAAACACAGTTCCATTAATGTCCTTACTCATGTGTGCTAAATGTAGCACAGTGTCAGGGCATTCAACAGCCAAATGCCTCTGTGGTTTGTTGTCATGTTTTATATTCAGGTAGCTTTACAAACTCATTTATGCTTCAGTCTAAGTAAAAATTATACATGCCTAATAGCTCCAAGGCACATGTTGTCACTTTTCATGACAGTGAACAGTCAGACACCTCTCAGCCAATGACATCCCCTGCCTCTCTTAGGCTAGCAAATTCAACTGCTAACAAATGGCCACTGTTAGCTAGAGCAACTCACAGTTTTTGAGTCACTCCATTTTGAATCACCCAACTAACAGACTGCTGCAAAATGACAGACCCAGTGACTGCAGTGGGCCAGTATCCACCAGTATGTAGTACTGGCACTTGTTTCATTTTACTCTTTGGTGTACCAGGACTTTTTCTCATGTACTGGTACTTCTCACAAGCTGTCGGTACTCTTTTCTGCCCTCTCCATGGGCTTTTTTGAGATTAACTGTTTCTCACCTGGACAGTGGACGAGCTTCCTGCCAGCTACAGCGTGGGAGCTGAGGGGCATTCGTGCCACTAAAAGAGAGTTTTTGTTCCCCCAGAAGCAACATAAATTCATATTTGGGTTGGGTTTTGTTAAATCAATTGTAATCACAAAAAAACCTGCATACAAATTAAAACTAAAAACACTAGAAGCTTTATCCCTTTCCCTGACCCTTACTCCTCCCAGGATACAGGAATCACTGTTTTAAGGGTTTACTTGCATGATTAAAATCTTTGCAGTACCTGCAGTTCGTGACTGGTCCCTTTTACTTTGAACAGAGGCAGCATTCACGCCATGCCCTGAAGAAGAGTCTAATAATGATGATATCACATACTCTAGCCCTAAGGTGAATCAAGCTATTTCCATTCCCTAACATGAGCAGCCTCCTGTCTGCAGTGTACAGAACTGATGGCAGGCTACTGTATGTACAGGCTGTGCAGCACTCTGTATGTTTTTATTCCTTTCATTCTTTAATTTTTAATTCACTTTTGTAATATCGAATAATTGTTAATACCACAAAAAGCAGGGAGGTGAGTAGAAGTAGTAAGACTGTGGTGATAGTATCAGTAGTACTAGTGTTTGTGGTCTTTCCTCAGTTCATTCATTCCTCCCGAGTCGCAGTGTGAGAGAAGGTTGCTTAGCAGCCATGCCCATCTGACTGGTCATTGGCCAGTGTGATAGTGTCACTGTTGTGTTGTAGTTGAATGCCATTGTGTATCACCCTCTTTTCCCCAAATAACAATTTAAAGTTTTTTCTTTTATAGTATGTTTTTCCTTTGCGCTTTCTCCGTCATGCTGTGTTTTGCTTTAACACAAGAATGTTGTAAGGAAACAAAACATCTGACCTTTGCGTGGTCTTTACAAGGCCTAATAGTTAAAATGTCACTGATATGACATTAGGATACTCGAGCTGAGTGTGACTGAGCTTACAAGCCCATCCTGTGGCCGCTCTGCAAACTGCACCTCCTCAGCGTGACCTCTAATGCTGCAGTGTGATTCACAGTTCCTCTGTGTGTACCTTTGTGCTGTTTAGTTTGCAACTGACCTGGAGCCTGATACAATGAGGCACAGAATAAATTCAAACTGAATCGTAATGGACAGCCAGAGAAGGGGCAAGGGATAAAAAGTCATCATAGTTTAACCAGTGGAATGAACTAAAAGTAGAATGCTAAGAACAAATCTGTGATAATTTTGATGTGTTTCTATTGATGCCCCCCAATATTTAGTCCAGGAAAATACATTAACACCAATTGAGTGGCATTGTTCTTTAACAAAACATATTAACTAAAGAGTTACTAGAATTTTTCCAACACAAAATATGTTTCCATCTCTCATGGGAAGATTGTCTAAAAGTGGGTGTTTATAGTGGTTCATAAAGTCAAAGCTCAATCTTTATGAGCCACTAAAATGTCTTCAATTACTTCTCCATTGTTGTCTACCATAAGCAAAATTAATTGCCGCATCATTAAATTTTACTGTGAATTATGTTCACTGCGCTGTGCGTGGCGATATGTGTAGTAATGTAGGTATGACAATGTGTTCATGCACTTGTCTCCATGCCCTGTAGTCTCAGTATGGTTACCATGAGAACAGCATGAATGGTGGTATCACTGCAGTAGTGTGACATCATTGCCAGACGGTGACTCATTCTCTTTGCTCAGAGCGAGTGTGTTTAAATGTGTGAAGGTGCTATCAGAGGAAACACGTGGGCCAAAGCAAGACAGCAACAACAGTCACTCTTGACATCCATGTTTTATTCTATGTAGCAAAATGAATTGCACTGCCTTTGTCCTAGGAGCCTAACAACAACAACAAAAAAGACCAAATTCATGTGACAGGACAAATAGACATTTACATGAATATCATAGAGAAATGTTGAAGAATAGAAATATATTGAACAACTGAGCACAAATGATCCCCTGTCCAAAAGAAGTACAGTATCCATGTTCATATTCATGTCACACATCTCAGTGCATGTGATCCAAGCTTTCTATAGTCTGACAGCTGATAAACTGCATCACGTCATCAGTGCAGCATCGCTTTATGTTTGACGCCACCCGGTACAACCACTGCAATCAATTTTAGGTTTTCTAACACAACACAACGTTATCTTTGGCACATAAAATCCAAAGTGTAAATGCTGAATTTTGTCAGTGTGATTCTGAATTGTGTAAAGCATGAAAGGCGAAAGCAATCAAAATCAAAATCAACAGAAGTTTTAGGGAGGAAAGTCAGTGGCTTTCCTGCTCTGAACTGGTACTGAATAGATGGAAAGAATCTAATCAGCAGAGGAGTGTGGAGATCATAACATGGTGACGCCTTTCTGTTCTAATCAAACTGTTTAACTGCCTAACATGACACATGGTGGCTCACTAAGCCTTTGACAATAATATGAGTCACAACAAGAGGCAACAAACCACACCTGGGGCTATATGTACCTGTACGCTGCAAACAATTTATTGCACCAAGCTGTGATTGTGAGGTCCAGGCTTAACCTTATGTTTTATAGCTTGCAAACAGATTCATAATCAGTAGTTAGTTGTTAATTTTGCCTGTTTGCCATTTGGTGGCAGGCAGGTAGCATACAGTGGGTTTATCTGAGCTTCTTCTTTTCAATCTGAAAATAATACCTGTAACTGCTGAAATCAGGGTTAATGAAAGCAGAGCTGAAAACCAAAACAATGAGCTACGGTAAAATAGATTAAATGCAGGGACCACAGCGATGGGGAATCACTTTCTGTGACCTGGTAACATGTAGTCATTTGATAAATTGTTATAAAAAATATTCTTACTTAAATATTTTGGTTTATTCCAATATTTCACCAGATACCATGACAATTCCCGCATAAAAGTGGTAGTGGAGAGTAACCAAGGGGTCAAACATGTTGCTTTTCATTTCCATGTTCTGTTTCACTTTCACATCCTTTTCATAAAAACAATATCTCAGAAGGCTTAGCCTCTTCACTCAGTTGTTTTAAAGATGATGGTCCACACTTGTGCCTCTTTACATTTAGCCCACTAATATCAAGAATTAAATGCAAATTACTCTTTCAAGAAAATCTATTGCAGTGTACAGAACAAGCTGATCTTCTCCCCCCAAATTCAAATTTCTGCCCTTTTTAAAGACAAGACTGAATACATCCTCGTTACATTATTTGCATCATGTAGCGTCACTAGCTTGATCTCCAGACATGTTCATCACATAATGAACAGTGAAATGTGACATTACCTCACTCAGGGTGACACTGACATTTAGTGGAACTTCATAACCCTTACATATGAGTATTATTTGTAGAACTGTAACAGTAGGCTACAGCAAACAAAACAACACATTCCTTACTGGAGACATTAAAAACTGCATACCAGCAGACCAGCAGACCACAAAAGCAAGTGTGGGTGTGTTTAATAATACTCAGTGCTTCAGTGTGAGAGTTTACTTTTGTTTTTTGTTTTTTTTTACAAAGTTTGACTAGACTGAGGCTTCTCTTGTTACACAAATGATACATATACAAAACACGTGAACACTGGCAAAAGTGTGACATACACTGAGACTTAGTCAGGCTCACTATATCACTGCCTCTTTAACACACACACACACGCGCACACACACACACACACACACACACACACACACACACACACACACACAAACAGAAAAGCTATGTCATAAAATGAAACTTGTTCTAAACTAGTGGTACATTTACATATTACATTTGTTTATATTCATAAATACGATTACAGTCATATTATAATGTACATGTAGTCTTATCATTACATTATCACACAAAAGAGGCTCGTTCTTTAGTTTTAGGGAGGGTGCGTGTTCATTGGCTGGATGAGGAGGAGGAGATAATCAGCTCAGGTGACTGGGGAGAAGGCAAATGCTTTGCTGCGAAAAAGTGAGACTCAAAAATTGCAAATAATCCACAGGGACAAATGCAATAGTCTGGTCCAGTGAGTTAGACTTCCTAATGTCAAATGTAGCCTATTAATAAGGACTGGGGTTTCTCGCTCTATCACATACTTTTTTAAGATGGTAGTTTTTCTTTTGTAAATAATAGCTGTTAACCTTGGCATAGCAATAATTAAAGTTGATATTTTCAGTTGATATTGTGGGAAATGTCTTTATTTGCGTTCTTACTGAGAGTTAGATGAGAAGACTGATATCATTCTCATTGCATTAAACTAAAGGTGAAGCTACAAGTTGGGGGAAAGAGCTAGAAAGCCTGGCTCTGTCCAAAGGTTTAAAAATTGCATCTTAATCACAAGTTAACATGTACAGTATCTTGTATGTTCAATGTTTACCAAGAAAAACCAGCATAATGTGCTAGCTCTTTTCCCTTGCCTTCAGTGTCTGCGCTAAGCTAAGCTAAGCTAAGCTAAGCTAAGCTAAGGTAAGCAACTCACAGATTTACCTTCATATTTAACATACAGATATGACAGTGGTATCCAATTCTCTATAACTGGTATAAAATTAGATCAGCCTTTTTATACTAACATTAAAACAGAGGAAAATATATTATGTGTTAGGACAAATCCTAAATCTTCCCTCACAATTTGTTAAGCTGATACACTAGAATACATAGAGGGTGTGGTTCTAAACAGCACACACGCCACATAAACTTCCTCTGCAATGTTTTGCTCTTTTTTACATTGATTTTAGCTCTGAGCTGAGCTCAGCAAAGTTCCTCTCCCTCCACCTAATATCAAAGCATTTCCTCTCTGACATTTAGGGAGGAAGAAGACAAAAAGGGGGGACAGCAGGATAAGAGGAAGAGGAGAGAGGACCATTTCAGCTTTTCAAGTGAAACAACAGTGAATCACGGAGGCAGGTTTGGCCTTTCAAAGAAATACCATTTCTATCATGCAGACAGTAATTACTGTCCTGATTATCTGCAGTTGCTGGTCGTTGAGAAGCAAGAACACTGTTCATACTAATCTGCATGCTTTACCACTTTTACCTGGTTCTGGTTCTGCTTGAATCACATATGCCAGACCGCTGACAAAAGTTCAAAAGGGTCCTTTTTGTATAGTGTGGCCTCTATTATGGCATGGTGGAACAGTGGTTAGTGCTGTTGCCTCACAGCAAAAATGTTCCTGGTTTGAGCCCTGGCTGACCCAGAGTTTGCATGTTCTCCCTGTGCCTGTGTCAGTTCTCTCCAGGTATTCCAACTTCCTGCCACAGTCCAAAGACATGCAGCTTAGGTTGATTGGAGACTCTAAATTGCCCATAGGAGTGTGGGTATATGTGGTTGTTTGTCTCTAAGTGTTGGTCCTGTGATGGACTGGCGACTTGTCCAGGGTGTACCCTGCCTCTAGTCCAATGTCATCTGGAATAGACTCCAGACCCCGCAATCCTCTTCAAGATAAGTGATGGATGGATGAATTTTGGTCTACTCTCCTTTCTCTGCGCTTTTGTCAGTGGTCTGAGAAGAAGTGGCTGGAAAAAGGTGGTTTCACTTATAGTATTTCTGGCCACCAGTGCCAGATTAGCAACACCTGAATTAGAACCTGATGACAATTGTGGGTTTGTTTGCTCATGCTGCCATATCACTATCAATCAAATCTGATCCAACCACACCTATAGAGTCCTAATAAAGCTAGTTAGCTAAGACTGTGGAAGTTAAATTCTTAATAAACGATGAAGTTATTTTTTAAACTCAAACACTGATTGTCACATTTGTTTAGTCATCAATATTAAATGTGATTAAGAAATTTTTAAGATTTGAAGCCAAGATTTTAGGGGCTTTAAAGCCACAGTGTGTATTTAAAACTAACTTTCATCACTGGCAGATCTATGTACTGATAAATAGGGCAAAAATGAGACTGTGCCAGTTCTCAATTCACTTTTTTCTTCAAACAATAATGTACATTATGCCAACAGAAGAATTTGAAAATACTATAATCATAAGATTGTTTTAAAATATAAACATAATGTCACCCAATAATAAACAAAGAACTGAATTTATACATTTATGATCATTTCACCAAAAACTGAAACATGTTGAGCTTCATAAACACAAATGTTATCAGTATGCTTCACCGTGCCGCCTGAGACATTCACCATGTACCTGCCTCATACTTAGAGTGTAAAGCATGTGGACAGCATGCTGGCATCGTTGCAATCAGACATGCTTCCTTTAAGTAGCCATGGATTTGGCTGTTGAGGAACAACATACGCAAACAGAGGGGCAGTCTGATCTGTGTTAGGTCTGGGAACAAATGTATTTTGCTCATGACATGTCCACATATATTCTTATATTCATACTGACACACGTATGGATGCCATAACAGCACTCAGCTAACTGTATTGTTCATTTGCACAATGCTCTCTCGATCAGCAGAACATTTGCTTCTCTCCTGTTTTTCTAGATGGACCATATGGACCAAGCAGCAGGCTCTTAGTTGGTTTAATGCCATTCCTTTTTTTTCAAACTATCCCTTGGCACACAGCATCCAAACACTGGGCGTGTTTCGACTGGTATTCTGGGTGCCAGAATATAAACTGGCATCCAAATAAGTATTAAAGGAATATTTTGACATTTTGGGGGGTTTATATCCTTTTTACTACCACTCTGTTACTATCTGATGTGTAAAACTACTTCTTGGCTTAGAGCAATAATTTTCTAAACTCCACTCAGTCATCACCATAAGGTTACCAGGCAACCAGCAGAGACTCCACAAAACCTTCAGTAAAAGCACAACTTGTTCAACATTTCCATATTTGTACGGAATAAACGAAAGAAACATAGCATGTGAATAAGTGAGTTTTAAAGGTGCTCTTAGACAGAGCCAGGCTTGCTCTTTCCAGTATATTCTTATCTAACTCTTAGCAAAAAAACAAGTAAGTGTTTCTTTGAACAAGTCAAATAGACTGTTGAGAGTGTCATCTGGGACAGTAATGAAGTGGTTTAACCAGATGGTATGGACATCTGGTGATGAAGTTTACAGAACATTCATTGGTATATATAAATATTTACCTCGGCCAAGGAGGTTATGTTTTGGTTTGTGTGTATGTGTTTGTTGGTTGGTTGGTTGGTTGGTTAGCAGGATTACGGACAAACAGCTGGATGGCTCATCAGCACACTTTGTACAAACACTGGTGGGGACCAACCCTGGAAGTGATTATATTTTGGCTGAAAAAGGTCAAAGGTCAAGGTCACAAAAACTAATGAAAATCACAAAAATCTCTGTCTTTATCATGGGGCAAAATTTTAAAAATTCATATGTCCCTCAAAAGTTATCAAAATCATTTGAAATTTAACACACATATGTAGAGTGGCAATGTTTATCAGACCAAATTTCATCCAAATCTGATTCGGATTCAGGATCTGATGGCTATTTAAATTTGTCACTGAAAACCCCATTTAATGAATGTTTTCTGTCATAACTATGCCTATAATGAAGAGAGAACCCTGAAATGTTCAGGTAAGATGCACATAACTGCCCATCATACCATAAAAGATTATCCAGATCTGATCCGGATCAAGGATTTTAGGACCCATTTTGTGCTGTTCTGGATCTCAATTTTCACAAGGGACCCATTTGTGTGAGTGAATGTTGTGCCTTGGAAGGAGTACACACACTCTCTGAGTGCTCTTGTATAGACTCTGTGTTACAGTACCTTAAATTTATTGGAAATGGGCTGCTTTTTAATTATATCTTTTAAAATTATGATACTGGAAAATGTGGGGAAACCACACACTATTAGAATAAACAAAGGTGAATAAAATAAGAAGACTGTGCACACTGCCTGACAACATGAAAGTCTGAGTGCCACTTCAACATATTTCCTCTGTAAATCCCTATGTTATTTCTTGAGCGTAGGCCCAAAAAAGCTGGCAGGATATCCACTTTTCTTTCACAAATCATCAGACTGAATTTGTAAAGACGCCCAACTAAACTGAAATACAAGTACTGCACAGAGAGATGGGCTGAAGCAAAGAATGGCATCAATCAGAGGTCCAGTGTGTGTCTGCCATGACTCATTTCCAGTCATACCTGCTTCAAAAAAAAAAGGAAAAACTGTCCCTACCTCTCTCCTCCTCCCCCCTCAAATGCATACCTCCCTTTCCTCCCCTGCATTTCTGTTCTCCCATCCTTATCACTTCTCTTGTGTCAGTTCAACTCATGCCCCATCCCGCCCCTCCCTCCCTCCCTCTATATCTCAACCAATCCCTCTCTACTTCTGCATGTCACACTGCAGCAGTAGGACAATGGAGGGGTCAGACTTGGCAGCCTCTTTAAACTCTTCCAGAGTTATCTCATCGTTGTGGTCCTTGTCCATCTTGGAGAAGATCCTGTCCACACGCTGCTGTGGGGTCAGCCCATCCTCGTTCATACGCATCATGATCACTGTGCCAACCATCTTGTAGATAGCCTGCAAGATGGGGAAAGGAGAAATGTCAGAGTTTGTCTTTAAAATGTATGATTCACAGCCTTACAATCAGATTCAGAGTTTGTCTTTAAAATGTATGATTAACAGCCAAGATGTTTCGCCTTACAATCAGAATCCTTAATAAAACATGCTCAAACCCACACCTCGATGATCTCCAGCATTTCCATACGTGTGATCTTTCCATCCCCGTCCAGATCGTACATGTTGAAGGCCCAGTTGAGTTTCTGCTCAAAGCTGCCCCTGGAGGTGATGGACAGGGCACAGATAAACTCCCTGAAGTCAATGGTCCCGTCACCATTCTTGTCGAATGTCCGAAAAGCATGCTGGGCAAACTTGGAGGCATCACCATATGGGAAAAACTGGGCAGTGACAAATGACAAAAACAAGGCAACATACTGTAAGTGTCAGCTGAATCACGCATCACTTTCTTCTCTTGAAATTGAATCTAATCTCATTGTTCAAGTGCAATGTGTTGTTACACTACATTACTGTTATGATTAAGATTCTTGTAAATATGTTTATTAAGGAAGGGCTTTTGGTTTGAAAAGTATATGTTAACACTATGAGTATTACTATATATGCCTTACTTTTCCTGCTATTCATTAACTGTAGCAAATATATTTTATGTAAGTAAATATGCCTACACTTAGAATTCATACACTTTCCTACAAAAACAGAAATGTTCTGTGTTTTAGCAGGATGTTTAGTGACATTTTACACGTGCCTGTTGTTACAGTACATCCCTCATAGTTTGCTTGTTGTACCTTTTACAGTAAAGTGAATAGCAGTTTATATATTTTTAATGGTTTTGCATTACTTGCATGCTTGTGGTCAGGATGGTGGCTGTTCACAATGTAGTCTGGTGTGTCTCAGTTAATCATAACAGTAATGTAGTTTGTGACCACACAATGCAAGTAATGTTTACTCCAATTATCAGATTGTTTAGGCTGATACTACAGCTTTTTACACTCACTGTTTGGAACAATGTAGTTGCATTTTTAAGTTAGCTACTTTAACTAACTTTTATCGTGATTAATGTTATTTTATTTTGTTTGACCACAAAATGCCAATAGCTTGTTAAGGTAAATATATATAGTTTTTCTTGTTTGTTTACTAGTGAAATTAGGTGGAAATGCTGGTGATGGTTGTTTTGAAGCCACTTTCGAACCCATATTGATGACACTTCCACAGTCCTTTCTGCTGAGTGGGAGATATCGTAGTGGTCAAAATTACCCAATTTCTCCAACATGGAATTACACATCAGAGGATGATGTGAAGGTTTTTTATTATTATTATTATTAGGGTTTATACGACATGACATGCACGTAGCATTAACTAATCATAATTTGTGATAAATGTTTTTATAATGATTTTATTTTTGAGGTTTTGGATTGCACAGTATTTACTTTTTATTTCTTCTGGTACTATAAACAGCAATGTAATGCTGTTTTTTTTTTTTAAATACTACATAAATAAGTTTTTTATTATGGGTTTGAGCCCAGCTGACCCAGGGCCTTTCCATGTGGAGTTTGCATGTTCTCCCTGTGCCAACTGGGATTGGCTTCAGCCCCGCGTGACCCTGTTCAGGATAAACGGTATAGATAATTGTATTATTATTATTATTATTATTATTATTATTATTATTATTATCTGTGCAG